GCCTGTATTTATAATCGTTATTAGTCTTGTTGATATAGCTCTATTGATTTACACAATAGTTATTAATAACGGTATTGCTAATATGAATGAAAATTATTTAGCCGGTCCATCAACATTAACTTTAGTACGAACAGGTGCAAAATTTGTACCATGCATGAAGCCTACTATTGATAGTCTACGCCATTCTTCAGTCAATTGTTTATCTGTACCATCTTCAAATTTGACTTGTCTATATGATGATCTTCTTAAATATTACTGTAATGATCAAACTTTCACTAATTATCCATATCAGACATATCGATTTTTCATACCTATATTTCTGCACGCAGGTATTATACATCTAATACTGAATTTGATAACACAACTTCAAGTAGGAATTTTTTTGGAACGAAAATTTGGGTTTATTCGTATTAGTTTAATTTACCTCATTTCGGGAATTGGTGGATGTTTATTGAGTGCTCTAGGTTTGCCTTTTCGAGGTAAGTTCTGTTAATCCAACTTTCAAATATTCGTATTTGCTTTTTCTGTGTAGTGTCCGTAGGAGCATCAGGCGCTTTGTTTGGTTTAATGGGTGTATTCTATATGGATCTAATACAAAGTTGGAAAACATTAGATAATCCATGGTGCCAGATTATATTTCAAACGGTATCCCTTATCATTCTGTTGATACTAAGTTTTATTGTTCCAAGCATCGATTATTGGGCCCATATTGGTGGATTCATCACTGGACTTTTAAGTGGGTTAATACTTTGTCCAAATCTGAATTTTTTCGGGAGAGCACCGCATGTCATAACACGAAATAGAATGATTATTATATGTTTAGCTTTATTATTACTAATCATTTTTTTTCTAACTGGATTTTTAGTGTTCTTCTTAACAAACAAAGTTTTAACATCAGTATTCTAATGATTAAAAGTTATAAAACACACTTTTACTTTCTCTATTTGTTAATTGTACGACAAATCAGTCCGTTATCACGCCTTCTAGCACGAGCGGTCTATATTTCCGTTTCAGCAAGATGTAGTGTCAGAACAGACAATACGGTCCTTTTGCGCAAGGAGCATCTTATGCATTTTGGCAAGAATTCCATACGTTTTTTTTTTTCATCAATGGATTAGCGCATAAAGCAAAACTATCGCACATATAAACACTTATTCCACGTGACAGAGCGGCAAAAACTGCATCAAATATAGTTTTGCTGGGGGGATACGGTGCTTTCTTGTACGACCGGAAAACTGACCAACTATATCTGCTTCAGGATTACGTTACCTGATAGAGCAACCCTGCCCGTTCGAACAATATTTCCTGATCAAACAAGGACAAAAGATTGCCTAATCGGACAAGATAAATTACACACAATTGAGCTATGTTCGTTATTCGTCTCTGTCATAAAAGAAAAAGAATGTTCAACACTTAATTTTAATATACGGTGAATGATCAGTGCACGAGGAGTACAATGAACACTTCCCGTTCGTTAGACGACTGATGATCCTCGAGATTAGACCTTGCCCAAATGGGCAAGTGCCAATGGACTGCAAGTAGCGATTTTAGACTTATTAAAAATCAATATTTTTCCTTTTCCAAAAAGCTACTGAAGTTCTTAAGAATTATTGCTTTTTCAAAAAATGAATCCTGATTTGAAAACCGAGGAGGCTACTGCAGGCCTTGACTTACAATAAATATAGTTTTTTCTTATGCCGCACGTCTTGCTAGAAAATGGCTGATTCTATGGAAAATCAAGGAATAGTTTTTGGAAATTCAAACAGTGTTTCAGATTATAGAAAATTCGGAACTATTTTTATCCCTCCTAGAAAGTCGATATTCCAAATCGAATGCATTTTCTTTAAACTGCATGTTGATTTTTAAAATGTACGTTGATTTTTAGTTACTGTAAAATGCTCAAAATTCTATAAAAACCAGGAAATGCTTGACGGTTTTATGATCGATTTTCCATAAATCAGAAATTAATGTATACAAACTGGTAAATCATCCTTCTTCTAGCAATTTAACCGAGGCTGGTATCAGGTGTTACTAGAATCCTTAGTACTGTGCTCAGCCTTCGTTGTTTCAAAAAAGATTTAAGAAAGTTACTAAATTGCTAACTGGAAAGGTTGCTTGAAAGCGTAACTTAAGTAAAGAGTTTTAAACAATGATTATCGCATCCTAGAACTATATAGTTGATGCATCGTGTGAATTATAACCGACTACTATCGATTGAGCCTTGGGAGGAAATATTAATGTGAACCAAGATGGAAGAACGCGCCTGTGTGCGTGTAGTTGATACTTACAATGTCTAATTGAGCGAATTAAACAATTGAATAGTAGGTTTTTTGTTCAAGGTAAAGTTTATACGAGCAGTGATAGTACATGCAATTCGAATTTGTTCATTCATACAATTATTGAACGAACAATGTTAACACACTGAACAAAGTTTGACAAAGATTGGTTATCCAATAGAAAATAAAAACAAAGCAGTACACAATAAACAACTAATCAGCAACCAAGGAGAAGAATTGTTTAGCATTATCGCTATATAAGGTAATGAATCAAATTATTAGGTGGCAAATTGGAAAAACATGATAGAAGAATTGTATTTAACAATAGACGTGATTAACAGATGCAAACAAGGTTTGAAAGTAAGGACATTATTATTAAAAAACACAAAGGTATTGATGAGACGAATATCGGGGTGATTACAAAAGTAATTGTAATTGATGCTCAGAAATTTATGTTGGTTAAACATTGACAAGAATGGTTCAGCATAAAGCAGTATTGAAAAAAACGTAAAACAGTTGTTCATATTCAGAATAGAAAAGAATAAGAGGAGGAGGAAAACAACAATGATTGTATAAAGTATGAGTTTTTAAGTGTGAACTATTATAACCGAAGATGATGTATAAAAGAAACCGAAAAGTTGTACTAAAATAAAAAGGTTGTGGACTGTGTGTAACGAAGATGATAAAAGAAGCTGCTATATTTTGTTATTTATTTCTGTCGAACAGTAAGTGAGTGATTAACTCAAATATATTTTTATTTGACTGAGAGAATAACCATATGGCAAGATATACGTCGTCAATATGGTGACACCTAGAAAGAGTGTAAGCGATAGAAATCACATTTTTATTGTGACGAAAAACGACGTTGTTTAAAAGGCGAACTTGAAAATTATTGGAAAAAATCAAGACGTTTTGAGCATAATGATTAGTTGTGCAACATAAGGAAGTTGTTATCAGGGCAGTGAGTATCAAATTATTATCAAGGGTAGGCTCAAGGGACGGAGGTCGATAAGAGCCAAAATCCCCCTCTTACAGATCAGTCTTAGATTAACCGATCTTATGTAGTTGTTGTCCGCAATTAACCCTAACATAGTTTTAGACCTTTAAAACCCTTTTCAGTGCCCCAGGAAACATTTTTGCAAACAACATGTCTCCCTCGTTAAATGCACTTTATTTCATTATTCCATCTCTTTCACCTAGAGCAACTATCAACTATTACACATCATTCGGTAGAGAATTTTACGGGTTACAAAATAATATATAGGAGAGTCAGAAGAAAATGTAACTGGGCAGTCTAAGATCCGACATACTCGGTAGCATCTCAGCAAACCGGTAGGTCAACGTCGTTTATGGTTATAATATCCACTTATTTTCTCATTAACCACTCCACTTTATATACCATTCGACAGAGAATTTCACAAGGTGGAAAATGAGCTAGCGCGCATAATTTCAAAATTTTCCCTTCGTTGATGTATTGGACAAATGCTTGCTAGATATGTCGATTTTTGCCCTACAGTGGCATATAAAAATGATTATAGTTTCTTTTGCAGACAGAGATTAGGCACAGTTTGTATATAGAAAGATGCAGAACTGAAAGGGCTTCAAACTCAAACCCATCAGTTTCTTTGAAAACTACACCATCAAGCATTTATATACTGAATAGTATATGACTATCGCGACTTTTATTTACGGTATCGCTTAAACTATTGAGCCACGTTTATTTTCAGTTTTCCTCGTAGAAGATAATGGCTACGACGAATCTGAGGAGAAATTTGAATAGCTCAGAAAGTTTCCGGTTTCGTCTATGGCAAATAAAGGTTTCACCAAAGCTACTCGAGCTCAAGTTTCTGGAAAACTTAAAGCTTAGAAAGCTAAGTCTATGAAGTCGAGTGATAGCTTTTCTGCCACAGCCTCATCGTGTACCGAAAAGATTACTGAGAAAATCATGATGTGTCTGAGCTCCCTTTTGTCAAACAGCATTCAATTTAAGAAGGGTCCCATGTCACCTGAATCAGCAAAATTAATCAAAAAACCTTTTTTGTGCTTTTCCCATAAGTTTACTAATCTCAGATTTAAAAGAACACCCTATACCTCATTCTGTAGCCCTTTCAGTTCTGCATCTTTCTATCGGCAGTTCTGTGAGAAGGCGATTTTGGCTCTTATCGATCTCCGTGCTTTCTTTTCACAAAATATCGAAAACTGCTAGAGCGAAAAAACATGCTGATTATGATTAACAAGACTATTTTAGATGAATTCGCAGAACGAATGGATAGTGACACATCACTATTGTGCGTCACAGACGGTTTACCTAACAATGTAATAAATCGAACGCAAGATGTTACGTTAAGCATCGTCGACGTGGTTATCAGTTTCTGTCATCATGATTTAAGATTTGCTAGACAAATTAGGGACTATTTGTTTTTTTCAGAGGGCTTCAGTGTGCGAATGTATAATGTCACTTATGATTACCAAGAGTCAGTGACTAACGAGATTGACTCAACAAAATGTTTACTTGCGTGTCTGAGCAGAAAATATGAACAAAATCATTCCGCAAAAACATTATTGTACTATGCCTTCACAAAATGTGTGAAAATCATCACAATTATTACAGAATATGATTATGATACACCGCCCTGGCTTCAGTTGATCGTTGACTACTCATTCAGTATTGATTTTACACGACTCTATTTTGAGCCTACATTAAGTTTCCTAATCTATTACATTATGGATTCGCAAACACCCAGATCTCTAAGTCATTCTTCTCACAATTCAGCATCTGAAACGGACGATCCCTCTAAGCAGAGTCATTCAGAAAGTAATAATCAAAAGGTATGAAATTACAGTTTTGTAAACGGAAATACCGATTCTACACTAAAATAAACACTTCGTTTCGAAGGTCTCAGTTAAGATGCAGTTTATGAAACGTAATGAGACATATTGCTCAAACATCTACATAAAGTACTATTCTTTCTTTTTTATCTGAAAATCATGTGTACAATACAAAATATTCCGCTTTGCCATAAATGACAAAAATCTTCTTTTTACAATGTATTGGTTGAGATACTCTGTCTTCATAAATCCAGTTTCACAAATCACACATTTATGAAACTTTTTACAAGTTTTATACATGTGTGATTTCTGAAACTGACTTTATAAAGACAGGCTAATCCGTATCGGTCATATACTAGACTTCTGCACAACAATGATGTCTTCTGATTATTTTCTGTATCTCAGATTCACTTTTCAAAAACAGCTATGACGACGCGATTTTTGGTGCTAAAATAAGCTTCAAATCCTTATAACTCAGCTATTCATGAAATCGATGGGCAGAAATGAGTATACGCACTCCAGTGTCTTCAACAAAATGGGATATATTAGTAGATAGATATGAGGATGATTTTCCCACCTTACGACACATTTCTTCAGACAATAATTTAATTGAAACACGTTTAGACGCAAAATATACGTTGAGACATACGGTGTATTATTTTTTGAGACATCAGACACCTAGGTTTTTGTGGTGCATATTACCACTGCGTTATAGGTAACTTAGAATTTTGAAAAAAGGCTTAATTGATGTCTACTCCAGAGTAAGTATAGCAGATTGTGACTTATTGGAGTGTGGGATATGCACTAAAATTACTTTAGTTTCTAGAAATAATGCGAATATTGTTAACGTTTTAGGACACTGTACATTCGCGATCACAATTGGAAGATTCGAAAACAGATATACGATCTGATGGAACAACACAGCCTATATCTAAACTTGAAACTCAACGAAGTGACCTATATAAAGCTTGTAAGAATAATAAGATTAACAGAGTTCGAAAAATACTTCAAACTGCAAGTATTTCTACTATTAATCGAATAGAAGAAAATGGTGCTACAGCTCTACATGTAGCAACATATCATGGACACAATGAGATTGTTAAATTATTACTTGACAGTGGTGCTTCAACATCGATAAGACATAAAATACGCAAGCTGACTGCTTATGAAGAAGCAAAAACGCAGGAAACGCAAGATCTTTTTAAACGGAGAAATGACAGAAGTCGTTTTATTGGAAATTTAACTTCTGATGTCATTGAATGGACACTCATCTTCCGAGAACCGGGAAAAAGACGAGCACGTTTTTTTCAGCAGCTCATAAAGCTGCTACTTGACAAATCGATCAATAGAGGTCATCAAACATCTTTGAAAATCGATCAAATACTGTTGAAACTAGAGAACAACTATCTAGATGCACTCCTGATACCAGACCAATTGCCAATCACCCATCAGAAAATGATTAAATGGTTTTTTTCAAGTGCCGTCTCGGAGAAGGATCCAACTTATATTTTACGAGCATATACGTCGGCAACAAACTTCTATAAAACTCTCAACAAACAGCTAGCTATTAATGCATTAGACTATTTTGAGCCAACTGTTAATTATGCAACAGATTATAAACTTGTTAGAGCACTTATTGATATTGTTGCTATTGTTACACATTGTAAACAGTTTGAAAAGTATCGTTTTAAAGGTGAAACATATCGTGGAATGTTGTTAACCGAACAAAATCTTCTTGAATACACAGTTGGATCAGAAATCATGAACAAATCTTTCTTATCAACATCGAAAACCAAAGTAGTAGCAGAAATATATTCTGGAGAAGGACAACAAACCGATAGTCATGTTTCAACTATTTGTACATATGTAATCAAAAACGATCAAACTGCTCTAGATATAGAGGACATATCTGAGGTACCAGATGAACAAGAAGTACTGATAGTACCATTTTCAGTATTCAAAATCATTAATGTAGAAAGATGCAATATTATAGGAGCTAAAAACAATGGAGCTTTGATTGCAATGAAGCTGGAAGAATGCAATGCACATGTAGCATACGAACTATCGAATTTCGAAAATGATGATGATTATGCTACGCAACTATGAGGAGCAAATACATTTTATATATCATTCGCAGTTGTATCTTTATCTTCAATCTAGAGCTATTTCATAACGTTTACTCCCGACTAAATATGTCTCGTGCAACTTCTAGGACAAAGTTGAAAGAGTTTTAATTAGACCGGTTTACACTTGCGACTCTGTAACTTTTAACCTGATTAAAGGTTTTATCAGCAGTGTCGAGTTCTACAATTCTGTCGAAATTACTAGAACTGGCAGAATTCGACACATTCAAAGGTGTACTGATCCTCAGATACTGTTCAGAATCTGGATGGATTGGATAGAATTCCAATTCTGGTAGAACCAGAACTGGACCAGATTCGGGCAGAATTGAAGCAGAAACTGCCAGTTCGTAGAGAGGATCTCAGTGTGAACTATTATAGCTCTCTACAGATCCTCGCTACGGATTGCCAGATTCTGGTAGGAGTAGAACTGTAGTTGTGTAGAGGTAGGGGAAGGCGAGGTGCATGACAGTGAGTAGAAGTAATCTGAATTCTGCTAATTCTGGAATTTCCACGGAACTGTGGAAGCTGACACCACCTTTTTTGTGAAAATTTGACAGGGGTGTAATGGCCTTGAAGCCTGTTACTGTTCTTTTATTGTAATCTTATAACGACAGCTGTTAGACTTCGAGTTTGAGTCAATAGAAAAGGTAGCAGATAAAAAATATGTAGAACAACGGCAGTTAGTTTTCTCTGCGCATTTCACAACTGTATTATTAATTGTACGCCACAGTTGTTGATGGAACTCGTTTCTTAAATTACATCATCTCCAACTTTAGTATCCCAAAACACGCGCGCCAAGAATACAAAAGTGAGACAGAAATCATCTGCACGACATTGCCAGTTATATTAATTCCCACGTGGTGATTAATATTGTTGATAATGTTAGCGAATTAATAAATTATTTCCTGAGATACAAAAGTCAACTTTTAATCTTTTTCTAAATTCGTTCATTATGTTAAATTCTCATCTTGAATTAACATCTAATTTAAGTTTTCTTTTTTTAAATAAATAAAAAGAGAAGAAAATCTTAAGTCAAAACTGAAAATAAATAAGACAAAATATAGTTAACTTAAATATACTTTAGTTAACAATTGGAAGTTAGGCAAGCCGTTGCAAAGGTTAGGACTAGGGATGCAACGGTAACGGTTGACAACCGGTTACCCGGTAACGGTTACCGGTTCTGACTGGTTACCGTTCACGTTTTTCGGAGACGACAGACTTCCATTAAGCACTGTTACTATTTCTCTATCAGATACATAGCTCTTAAACCAACCCAGTAGTGAGTCGCGAACACCTTCATATACAGTACTCCTCTTAACCAAACACGATCGAACGCCTTACTAAAGTCGAGAAAACTAGCTCTTGTTATTTGCCCTTTATCTCCATTCTGATAAATTGTATGAACAAAATCAATCAGCTGATTCACTGTAGAATCACCCCTAATGAATCCCGATCGCATACTTTACAACAACTTATTCGTAGTGAGATAGTGATACAAATGATTATATACAACTCGCTCAAAAACTTTGCTCAGAATTGATAAGAGTGTTATTGGCCTATAATTATTTGCACTAGAAGAATGACCGTCTTTAAATAATGGATTGATATAACCTATCTTAAAGACCTTCGGGAAATAAAGACCCTGTTTCTATGGTTCTATGTAATTTCGACAAAAAGAATTTCGCCATCTGAATTTCGACAATGTCCAAATTCTAGTAGAATTTTGAAACATGCCGAAATTCTACTAGAATTTGGACAACGTTGGCGAATTTCTACAATTGTCAAAAT